CAGCTCAACTCATATCATTGTGGGAAAATTCTACTAGCAGTCCTTCATCACCTTAGACGAAATAGGGTGATTACATCTCATATTACTGATTTACTGGTAGTCTCGAAACTCTACTCCAATATGAAAATTACATGATTGAGCCCAATAGATCTACAAGTGAATTTTCAAGTTCCCACTCGGTGCACTCTGATACATATAAGTCATCGGAGAGTGAAGAGCCTACTTGAAGAGTAGAAATCGTCAGATCAAAACAGCTAAAACGATATATTGTGTTAGTTATCTGAAATTAAAGATTCGAATTCCAAATGATAAGTAAAAATTTAAGCCAAAATCATCGTTTATTTCTAATTAATGAATGTAATTAAGAGCAATCAACTACAATCCACAGAAGGTAAGCTTTACTTAAGTGTAATTGGCCATGAGGCGTAAAATTCCAGAAAGGATCTAATTTTCTTATTCCAAACTCAAAAAGGAATAAACCACCAGATCCTCCTTTAGTATCCTCCTCATATTCTTTACCTCAAGGATGTTTTCTTTAATTATTTAATAACTTTTATTAGCATGCCAATACAAAAATTACACTTGTTAATACAATAATAATACTGGATACAAGTGCCTGAAAATTTGTAAAAGGACATCAATGCATGCATAAAAACAAATTCTAGGCAAAAGCGAATAAGTATTTGATAGAGACGAATCTCAGGCTCACTTTAATGAGGAGAAAATTGAGGGGAAATTCTGAGCCTTGCTTGATGTTTCACTATAATTTGCCTATATTTTTGTAAGTGTAAAGATGTTTGGTTGACACAGTAGAATAGGAGGATAAATCTTTTTGCTTCATTCTATCGTCTATTATCATCCATCTCGCGGTCATAAAAATGCATAATTTCAATTACTGTTATCAAACGGAAAAAAGACCTCTGAATAAAACATTTTTGATTAGACTAACTGGCGGCTCAAAGCAGAATAAAATAAAGGGATCCTAAATCTCAATCGAAAATGGATTTGGGGCAAAATAGCACAAAAGCTTAAAATATAAATAAAATAAGGACACTGATAAAGTTTTACTAGGAAGGAATCCTTATACAGAAAGTGGCGGGGTAATTTTCAGTTGATAAAAAATTGGTTCAACTTTGAGACTTTGGATACTCATAAATACAAGTGAAAGTATGACCAGGATACATGAATACAAAGTAAAGTGGTACAACAAAGAGCGAAGATTTCTTAGATAGAAGAATAACTCGCAAGTGCTACAAATCGTAACAGCTCAGTTCTTATTCAGCCTCAATAAATAGTGATAATTGCAAAATGACAGCATGAATAATAGACAGATTTGGGGGCTAATGACGGGATAACCATAAAGAGCTACATATTACCTTTTGTAATTACCATGGCAAAAGTATAAGAGTTAATTGTATCTGAAGTTGTTTACTAAGCATTAAATTCATCTCTCTAATAGATGCCATTGCAGAAAATGTCTGACGATGAATTTGTGTTATAGGACACTCTAGTCATTAGAGGCCTGAAGGAGGTCTATAAACGCAGTAAGGTAATTTTCACTGGAGTTAATCCAAGAATGAAATGTACCATAATATGACAATGTTATGCCAATGTTAATGTTAATGCAACTTCCACCAGCCTAGACAAGAGATATTCCCACACCAACGAAATGTCAACTCATGTTTGGCTAGACGTTATTATGCTTCAATAAGCGATAATTGAATTTTCGCGCAATGTTATAAAAGCATTAGTATCCAAGATGGACTAAAGTTTTGGACTTGCTTGGATCTTATCAGAACATCCGACGGGGATCGACCTCGGGAAATTCAGCGTTTATCCTAGATAAGTTGCCACTATGCCAAGAAAGTTAGGCCTCTCTCATATTACCTTGTTATAGATAAATTATTGATGAAAAAAACTTGGATTTGCTATTATTTTTAACTGCGTTACTGATATTTATTTTGAATGGGTCTTGAAGAATACAAATAAATAAAGGAATAAAAGTAATGCAGTGGATTGTAACAGCAAACATGAATTTGCTACATCGACAACCAAACCATACAAATTTGATATCGAAGAGGCCTGGTTAGCTTTATGTCTGGCTTATGACCCAATGACATCCGTTGCAGGACACTCTGGATGAGAAACGAAATCTAAAAGGAAATATGGTGAATACCGCCCTTATTGTAGTCCCGAAAATACTATCATTTTCAATTAATTTTTATTATAGCTTCAGAAAGTCATGCTTTAAGATGGCCATGCATAGCAATATGGCATTTAGTATTCAGTACCATGTGTTAAATAGGGGAAATTAACCTAAAATATTTGAATAATGGAGACATGAAGATGAGCATAACCTCAACATCTATATAAAGTATACGTTTGACGAGACCGTCCAAAAGTTATTTTTCCAAAATAGGATTTGCCTGCCTTGCGGAGCAAAAACCTCGGACTAAAATAACGCTGTAGATAGGATAGTTGATAATTAAAATAATTTAAAATAGAATTTACCATTAAGAAATAGTGCTATTTTAGTAAGTGCCATGTTATCCCGCTAGATGATAATGCAAAGCAAAGAATCGTGAATTGGAAAAATGAGAAAACACAGACATAAATAACCTGAACGCTAATGTGGAATAGGATAAAATAAATATAAAAAGTATAAAAAGAGTCCCCTGGTTAAAATACAGTTCAACAATAAACTAAGAGAAATCTATCGAAGCCATGCAAGGAGGTGAACTCATCCGAAATACTTACACCGACTCGCTTCCATTTTGTTGACTGAGAGCATCAAACACAAAAATATATTTAAAAAATTTCGGAATTAGATGCTGCGTTAGCGTAGCATGCATTTGATTATTAGAAGCATCAGAAGAAGTTAATTAAGGAATGCGCAGACGTAACGGGCGAAAAATGAAAATAATTATAAAATGTAAGTGCTAAATCATGATCATATTTTGAATTTAATGTATAAATATAAATAGTTATGCCATTTTTTGCTGTAACTTAGGCAAAAATATTATTCACCTTTATTAATTAAAAGTGGACAAAAAAGAGGTGTAGAAAAAGCGCTTTTTATTCGATCAAAATTCCAACAGGTTTAAAAACCAGCTTAAGATGTCCTAGCAACTAATATGTTAAACAATTAATTTTGGCCATGATTAAAAGAATTCAAAGTTCTATAATGTAATAAATTGCGTATAAATCTTGTAACAAGAGAACAGCAACATAACTTATCTTGCAAAGTCAATCAGAACGGTGAAAGGGTATCTAGTGAAATTAATACAAGTAAATATACGATTTGTACTAGGTTAAAGACAGGTTACTAAGCATCAGAATAAAATAATGGAGACAGATCTGAAAAGACCGATATGTTTGCCCTCTATTTAACTGGCTTGAGGCACACATCCACCTCTAATAAGGAGAACCATTTATACCAGCCTGAAAGACAACACTGATTTCAATGCATCACTCATAATAATACGGTCATTTGAGAAATGTATCTCAAGAATGGTAATGAAATAGCTCAATTTCTTTAAACAAATGAGCAGATGTTTGCGGCAGGATAATTTCCTAAAAGAAAACCAATAGTTACAAACGGCATTCGTCATTTCAATTTATATAAAAAATTGGATAAGAGAGATTCGCAAAATGGCCTGTGATAAAAACGATGAAGGTTTCCTTTCAAATGAGACGGTTAATTCGTGATAATTTAAGTCACCACAAGTGGCTTAAGATGATGTAAAAACTGATAGTTGGCTTTCTCAAGATGAAAAAACTACAAGGTCTCATAATATAAATGAATTTAATTTAGCTTTACTTCCCAAAAGACTTTTGAAAAAGTAAGTTATAATAACCATATAAGTCTTAAGGCTTTATACAAATTGTGAAATAACGCTTTCTTGCTTAACATGTAAGACTAAGGCTCAGAATGCCAAGATATGTAGTGAGAAACTTTAGACTTCAATGAACAGTCATAACTCCAAAAGATACATACTTCGGTTTCAGTCAAGAAAAAAACGTATGAGTCCCTTCTAACCGATTTATCAGACAAAATGAAAGAAATAATCAAACACTTTTGATAGGAAATCCTTCAAAATCCAATTGAATATTTAAAAAAGGATGTACCTTTGCAAAGAAACCACTTTTTCGCAAGGACGACGTCATTTGTGACGTATTCGAGGCCGTGGCCACTGCTCGAGCAGGCGGCCTATAACCTGACATTGAATTCATACAAGTGTTGGCCAGCATCAGAGCCGCAGCAACCGGCTGGCAGCTTTCAGTGGCACCAGGAAGTGATAGAGCAGTTGAGCCTACAACTGTACGCATTGCAGCCCCAGTACGGCGGCCCGAGCCGAGTCGGGTCCGCCGATGAACAGAAAAATCATCAGTCGGTGGCCCTGTCTCTGGACTCGATGGTATTCCAGGATTAAGAGTGCTGTCCGATTTGTAGCCGCTGTAGGTAAGTAGGTTTTTCGAGAAAAGGAAATAAAAAACCAGTAAACTAGTCGATTGCTATAGCAAATACAACTTTGCTACATCGACAATTACAGCACAATAAGTGATATTGGAAAATGTCGGAAAAGGAAATTATTTTTTATTTGAGAAGTAAAGAAGTTGTAATAGGGAAATAAATAAGTGCTGGGAATGAACCACAAAAGGAATAGGTGAGCGGAAGAGCTCCTAAAATAAACACATTTGATAAGTCTATTATGTAAGATATAAATTTGATAAGTCTAAAAGTATATAATCATAACATGTCCACGTTAAGCTAATTAGTTGGAATATCTATGTTAATAGATGCGCCAGGTTTTTATCGATCACAAAGCATAGGCAAAGAGAAACAACAAATGGTAGCTCCGCACTTAAAAGTTAGCTGAATGAAAAAATTCGGAATTGTGCAATATAATAAAAAATTTAGGATTCTAAACTGGTTTACTTGACTAAATAAAGGCGGATTTCTGTAAATTAATTGTAATTATGATTGAGAATACATGATGGAGAACCGCCGAAATAAACGTGGCTCGATTAGCTCTGAACTTGGCGAAAACACCAGCAACAAGACTAGGACCCGAGAATTGCATGGGGAAGCAAGTGCAAAAATCATGTCATGTAATCTCAAAAAAAGTTCAAGAAGGACAGTGCGTCAAAGGTTACTGATCAAATAAGATGAAATCTTTTTGTGAAATAAAATCGATGTCAAGAATTTATAATAAAAGAATAATACAAGAACAAGCCCATATAAAATTATTAGGGACCCCAAAAGAATCAAAATAGTGGCTAAATTTGGCTATATTGCGGCAGGCCAGCGAATATTTTATGCTGATAATGGATT